TACTCAAGTTCCAGTCCTGCACTCTGCATGTGCTATGGAGTACATCCAAATAAGAGTGTAGTACAGGATACTGTCACACTGCAGTATTTAAGATACTTTAGTCAGACCTCCCTGAGGGTCTGCCTGTGCTCTCACCTGATGTATCCCACCTGCGGTCGGTGGCTGAGCTGCCAGCGGTAGGACGTTTTGTCCATCCAGCCGGTGTTTCGTGGGTCCTTCCAGAGCAGCTTCACCTCTCCAGATGTATCTCCCGTGTGCCACAAGGCATTCCTCAGGAACTCACCTGGTCCGGTCCGAGACTTTACCGCCTGCAGGATGAACACAGGGAGAAAGTTCAGGGGGTGCAACGTCCTGAATGAGACAACTAAACTCTTCAAGAATGACCAGCAGGCATTACAACCTGCCAACACATGATGCAATACTGGTTTCTGCTGATTAAATGTGCATTAAAGGACAGTAGAAGAGAGTAGAAACCTTGAGCTGCAGTGCGGGCTGGGCCATGGCTCTGAAAGGTATGGATTGCCAGTAAGCCTGCTCTGTCTGTTTCCACATCACCACATAGAAGCTGGATGAATCCTGGTAGCCAAAGATGAAGCCAGCGTAGTCGTCGTCCGTAACAGTGTTGACGTGGAACGTTCCCTCGAAGTCAACGCCATTAAATGCCGTGTAGCCTGCAGACAAACGGAGGAGGTGATGATCTGCTCGAGGACCAGAGGACAGCTGTGAATTCTCCACTTTAAAGTGGAACTCGTACCTACGGCTAAACCAGGATCGCTGTTCATCGTCTGGACAATCTCCATACCCTGATGAAAGAGCATCGAGATCACACAGGCAGTTATTGTTTATAGCCTGAGACAAATATGGTCGTAGAGTCCAGCTGGTGCTGGAAATGAGCAAAATAGGCACCCTTGTTGTGCTTCCAGTCCACCAGAAAGAAAGGTTAGTATCAGTTACATCTTCTTGTTAATGCTTTTACCGACTGTTTAACACCAATGGACAAGCGATTATACACATTTTCTAGTAAAGAACAGGTGGAGAAACAGTTGTACTTGATAACCAGCCATATTCACATAAGACTACCAAAGTTACCTGATTCAGCACCACCCAGTTGGGGTCAATCTGTGCATCACCCTCCGGGTCCAGGATGACAGTCTGATAGGCTCTGAAGTCTGTCAGAGTGACCTCGGCACTCTCCGGGCACACATCGAACAAATCCATCACAGCGTCGTTATCAAAGTCGTTCTCACAGACATCTCCGATACCGTTCACTGCAGACGGACACGATGGAGCGGTTTAAATCTAGACCTTCGCAGGATTTCTATGAATAAAGTTACTTCTCTGTGCAGACGACACAGTTCTATTTACTGCCAGAAAAACACAGTTCACAGCTTTGCTACTGTTGACCTGTACATTCAAAATTCACTGAGGGTAATACCAACATTAGAAACACTTTGATGGCAAATACAACAAAACAACATGAATGTAGCTCCAACAAAAGACTTGTGATAAACGCATCAGGGAACTTGGGCCACATCTGAATGCAGACATTACTACACCGATATGTAACCAGGATGTTAAAATCCTTGGAAACTAAAAGTATACATTTTATAATAAACTATTCAGTAAGAATATAAAAGTAATAATCACACAGAAAATGTAAACTTCAAGAGGTTAATTGTAACTAACCCGAGTCTAATTTTCTGTCATATTTTCTGCTCTTTAAAAAAGAATAAATGGATGATACACAGCAGCAGGTTCTGGTTGTTTAGCCTTTGTGGGCTTTTATATGATTGTTACCATCTGAGTCTTTCTGATTGGGGTTAACGATCAGTCTGCAGTTGTCGTAGTCATCGAGGATGCCGTCGTTGTCATCGTCGTGGTCGCAGTCATCTCCCAGGCCGTCGTTATCGGAGTCCAGCTGGGAGCTGTTGGGGATGTCTGGACAGTTGTCTCTGCTGTCCTGGTGACCGTCGCCGTCCCTACAGATGTTAAATAAGCGACCGTGTTTCGCCTTTAATGAGCAGGTTTCTGTTTTTAGAATTACTGTCCATTTTTAAACATGGAACTGTGTGCCCACTAAAGCCTGGCTATGAAAGTGAGTCAGTCTCCATAGACTTCAACATTTTCTTCTAATTAGAGGTGTGGCCAATTTTAGTGACACAGCTGGCTTGTAGCTCGAGGCTGTCATAAGACATAAGACTGATATACTGTATTCCTACCCTTAAATATATGTTAATAAAACATACTTACATTTATCAGAAACAGCCTGTTTGACAGGAATTGAAACTAATTGAAAATAAAAATGAAATCACTTCAAACAAAGACATTTTCATTTTTTAATCTACAGTGTAATTTAGATCCAAAGTAATCCCATTTATTCCCAATTTCATTTACCTTACAATATAAAGCCCCCTCCCTGAGCAGATGGCCCCGCCCCTCCCTGAGCCTGGTTCTGTCGGAGGTTTCTTCCTGTTAAACGAGAGTTTTTCCTTCCCCCTGTCGCCAAAGTGCTGCTCATAGGGGGTCATATGACTGTTGGGTTTTTCTCTGTATCTATTATTGTACGATCTACTGTACAATATAAAGCGCCTTGAGGCGACTGTTGTTGTGATTTGGTGCTGAATAAATAAAATAACATTGAATGGATCCCATGAAAACTCAACTGCAACTAGAAAACAAGTTTTACATCATTTTTTAATTTTCATTGCATTTTTAAATGTTTTATGGCATCAAAAAAGAGAAAACTAAAATAGATCTGTGTGTGTGTGTGTGTGTGTGTGTGTGTGTGTGTGTGTGTGTGTGTGTGTGT